GTAACAAAATGCTTTGTTGGGTGGTGCCTGTGGCTCAAAGGAGTGGGACACCGGCCCCATATGCCGGCGGTGGCGTGTTCAAACCCAGCCCTGGCCAAAAACTGCAAAGAAAAAAAAAAAATGCTTTGTTAGAGTACAGTTACACGTGTAATCCTAGCAATTCTGGAGGCCAGGATGGGAGGAATGATTTAGGCCAGGAGTTCAAGATCAGCCTGAGCAGCATGGCAAGACCCCAAATCTACAGATAAATTAGGTGTGATGGCACAAGTCTGTAGTCTAGCTATTCAGGAGGCTGAAGCAGGAGGATTGTTTGAGCCCAGGAGTTCAGGCTACAGTGACCTATGCCACTGTACTGCAGCATGTGAGACAGAGTAAGACTGTCTCAAAAAAAAAAAAGTTTAAATGACACATGTGGAGCCTAAAGGAAGAAAAGACAATTTTGGGAAATTGGGTAGGCCTCATTAAAAGATAATAGTTTATCTAATCCTTGATGGTTGAACAGGATTTTGTGAGGTAGAGAAGAAAGTCATATGTTTTCATTTGTTTCTTTGTTTTTTAGTCTCATTCTGTTGCCCAGCCTAGAGTGCTGTGTTGTCAGCCTAGCTCACAGCAACCTTGAATTCCTAGGTATAAGTGGTCTTTCTGCTTCAGCTTCCAGAGTAGATGGGACTGTAGGCACAACACCCAGCTATTTTTTCTATTTAGTAGAGAGCCCCTTACTCTAACTTCAGGCTGGTCTTAAACTCCTGAATTCAGATGATCCTCCCTCCTTGGCCTCCCCGAGTGCTGAGATTATAGGCATAAACCACCACACCCAGCCAAGTCATTTGTTTTAAACTGAGGGAAGAACAAGACCCCAGTATGTTAAAGTGTAGGAAGAATTTGTTGGGTCGTGGGGTTGAGGGTGACAGGTAAGGTATGGAAACTCATTTAGTGAATTCAGGTTGTGAATGACCTGGCATGCTAAGGTAAGAAATTCAGACCTCACCCATTAGGCATAGAGAACCTGGGAGAAAATTTTGAGTCAGTTTATGGGGTTTTTTGTTTTAAAGAAAAGGTTCTGACAGGGAGGCCAAAACCTAGAAGGGTTTTGGAATAATTCACACAGGAAAGGAGGTCCAAATTAAAACAGAGTCTTGATATCAATAGGGACTGAGTAAAGACATTCCTGAAGTGTATGTGACCAAATCTCATAGAGAGTGAAGCAATTAAGAGTTATTTTACCACAGATAGCTTTCAATTACATGTCTAGTTTGCATTTGAGATATTTGAGCCATCAAGTCGCTTAAAATGAACTTTGGTGGCCTTCCAGGCCTGCTATAGCCCCCCACCTTCCGGTTATGAAAATAATGGCACCGGTAGTGATTGAAGGCTACCATAAGCCAGCACTGGGTGAAGTACTTTTCCTGCTGTATCTCTTCTTTTCTCATACAACAACCAACCTGCCTCTCAAGTGTTTACAACCTTTTTTATTTCCTGGCACATGTGAACCTATAGTTAACCTTCCATGACACAGTTAAATTATGTTGATCAAAAAAAAGTAAAAGAATACACTTGTTTTAAACTTCTTTTGAAAATAATAATTTAGTTAATGATCTTTAAAACTTTTCACAGCACACCTAAGATCCTCTCACAGCACACTGTTTGACAATCACTGCTGCCTCTGATTCTAATCTGTACTTTGTGGCAGCTCATGGGGTTAGTCAGCCTAGTAGTTTCCCTTAGCTCAAAGGGCTGAAAAATGTAATAATGTGATGAAAGCATGGACTGCCTTAGAAGAATGAGGCTCTTCTGGAAAGAATAAGGTCGGTAGTGTTAGTCTGCTTTAGACTTACTAAATTACAAAATGATTAGGGTACCTTGTAATACCACTTCAATCTGGAAAACAATGTTTTAACATCTATACCTAGGATGTAACTCCCTTGTCCAGTTAAGGGTTTAACCCAGAAGGTGATTTTTACATATACCTCATCTAGAGCTGACGTTGGCCTGGAATGGAGAGCTGCCCATTTTAAACTTAGATTTGCTGTCTCCAGTGTCAAGGCTTGCCTGGGATTCCTCAGGATTACCTCTGCCCTTTCCCAATTTAGCTCCTTGAAGACTCAGCTGTTTTTGCTAGTTCTTGTTGCCAGGGAAGTCTTATTTTCAGCTCTTAAATTGTCCAGAGCTAGAGTGCCCCAGAACGTGGTTCAGGAGTGATCAGCCTTAGTTCATAGTCTACCTCCTTGGAGTGTGTATTAAAATCATGGAAGAGACTCTGGACATCTTATCTTCTAGTGGTTGCAGGGGTGTAACTGCAAAACCCTGTCTTCATACAGGCTTTCACAGAATCCCTAATAGGACAAAGTGGACTTGTACGTGTTGAGGTAGAGCTATATATCCACCTATTCCCATCCCCAACCTCCCAACAGTGTAACATGAAAAGCCAATACACTCTCTGGCCACCTGGAAACCTGGTATGAGGAGCCGGCTGCAGCTGAAATGGCAAGATAAAAATTCTGAATTAGGCTCGGCGCCTATGGCTCAACCGGCTAAGGCGCCAGCCACGTACACCTAAGGTGGCGGGTTCGA